GTCTGAGAGGTGAGGTGGAGAAGCCAAGTTCCATGTCCATCAAATACGTGTTAATGACACTGCCGAAAAAAACTAGTGAAGAGTAAGAAAGACTGGTTTTGGCAGCAGCCAGCTTCGGAGAAAAGACTAACTGCAACTTAAAAGCGGCTCTCCAGACAAATGCGTCACCACCTGTAATTCAGTGCCGCTTTTTGTCTGTGGCAAATTTCAACTCTAAAAGTTTTTGGTAATCGAAAAAATTCCTTTGAGTTAGTTTGCAGAAATTTCACCGGATGACATGGAGCATTTGGAGAAGGAGATGGCTAGGAAACCGTTCTATACACTGCTTGAAAACCCGTCAGCTCAGAAAAAATTAATCTCCGGAGAGAAGAAAGATAACGACAACAACTCGTTGAATTTTAATGGGTTAGCAACAGCCCATGGTGACAGAAACAGCAATTACGAGAAACGAAATGCTTTTCGACATTTGGCTTTGAACGGCGCGCGTGGATTTGGTAAATGAAAATTTTGAATATGGTATCATATGTCAGGATATAACGGAAAATTTGTTTCTCGCTCCGGGTGAGCAAGTATCTGTCTCCAATCAACAGTTCAACAACCACCGCTTGAATATACATTCATTAATCACGGTCATTTTCCCTTCATGCTTCCTCCTCTATCAGTAAATTTTTTTCTCCTATCAGAATTCACACGGCACTTCGATTGTTTTATTAACTTTCGTACCGAAAATTGTGACAACAGTTGGAAGGTGAATGGAAGGAAAGAGTGGCTTTTCATAAAAGCTGAGCTAAGTGCAGCTTCCGACAAGCACTATGCAAGAGCATAGCTAATCCTTAAGTCTATTTGAGGACCAAAGTCACCCACTGTACATGAGAAATGCATACACGTAGATTACTGGTAAAATGATTTGGAAACAGCACTAGTTAGCAAACATTAAGATAACAATCATTGGCGACGCGCACTGGGCGGGCCCGTGCGATTATGCGTTTTTGCAGTGTTTCGAGCTGTAATAAGATCATTCGAAATTTCGCTAGCTAGAAATCTCTTGTACATACTGGCCCTCGAATTTCGGGGAATTAATTATCCACGCTATCTTGGGACCATTCCTTTGAAATCCCAGATTCCCAGCTTTCTCAGTTTCCGAGTCACCAAAATTGCAGCCAGAAAATTTCACGGGGCCGCACGCA